CCCGCACAAGGCGGTCTCCTGACAAACCCCGCCCGCCCTCCCAAACCCCGGCTGCCCACGGTCGCCCCTCACCGCTCCCGCCCGGCTGCGACAGCGGAGACGGCCTCAGGAAGCGTCCGCCCGCGCGCCCGGCCGCCAGAGGGTCTGGCCGTGGCCGCTCCCCGCCCCCCGCCGGCTTGCTCACCTCTTTCTCCGGCTCCTCCTCCTCCTTCTCCCGCAGCCGCTGCCGCCACAGCCGCCGGAAGCGTCACTTCCGCTCCAGCAGGCCCATCTCTTCCGCATTGCGCCGCGGCGGGGGTGAGGAACACCCGCCCCTCGCTGGGAAGGGGCGGAGCGTCAGGAAGGAGGCCCCGCCCACTCGGGGGCCGCCCTGCGGGCGGGTTGCAGGTGGGCTGCCCGCCGCCTTCACGCTCAGCGACCTTCCCCTCGGGCGGCGTGTCCCCAGGCCGCAGCTGCAGGTCCCACCTCTGGGGATGCCGGGAGAGCGAGGATCTGGCCTCCCTGGGCCCCTCGCGTGGGCTCTCCAGAGCTCACCAACCGTCCCCGTGGACGCCAGGGAGGGACTCTGGGGAAAAGCTTTGGGGGCTGAGTATTGATATGCACCCAAGATGGGTGTCAGGACCACCCCCAGTCGTCCCCACCAGCCTGACAGACGAGGGGGAGGGCTCGAGGGAGTCAGCACGCCGGCCAACCAGGCTGCGCCTGAAGAGCTGTCCATGGTGTCTCTCCTCCAACAGCGCCGAGTTCTTATTCTCAGCGTCTGGGTAGGTGGCAGGAAGGAAAATTAATGCTTAGTTTGGAACAACTCTGTTCGCTGCCTTTTCTTCTGGTGTGTTCTGGAGCTCTCGGGACTACTATAGAAAAGGGTGCTCAGCTGTACGTGTGGTGGAGAGTGGGAAGTCACAAACCAGAATCTCAAGACTGAGCCAAACAAAACATGGCAGTACTGAGGCCAGGTGCAGCTGATTGTCACTGAATGGCGCATAGCTTTTGCCAACCGTGGAATCTAATAACTAAAAGCAACTAACCCTTTCGTCTTATCATTCTTCAACAGATCATGCTTCCTGGCTCATATCAGTGTCCTACAGACTTTTCACTCTGTTTCCAGTTAATATATCTAAATATAAGAATGAAGCCAAAACCAGTAGGGTCAAAGGAATTGAAAACTTGATGAACCCAGAACTTAAAAAACTGTTTCCTCTTGACTTTGCTTTTTCTTTATTTCTTCCTCTTAGTGCCTTAATTTTAACAGCAAAAGCAGAATTTAAATTTGGCATTTTGCACAAAATCATTTCCTCCTTCAGGCCCTGGTCACGTGGCTTGACTTAACATTTCTTCACTCACTTTAGAGAAGCTGGACCCACCCTGGTTTCAGGACACTAAAGGAGCTATAATTCATTAGAAAAGAAGTCACTTCTTTTCTAGGAGATAGGCAAAGACACTCAGATTTAGTTCTGAGAACTGGAGGGATTTCTCCTTTTACATCTCATTTACATCTATCTCCTTAGAAAAACTGTTTTGCTTTTTGTAGTGGTTACTGACAAGCAGCCTCAGAAATAAGCTCATATTAAGAGAATCTTTTGGTCCGTGATTGCTTTTCTTTCCAGAGAATCCATTTCAACTGGAGATTGCATTTGACAGAGAAAGATACATGGGAGTGGGTGAGGATGGAATCTTTCTTATTTGCCTTTTTAGGTATAATGCCTCTATCACCCTGAAAGAATGCCAAACAGTCATGCACCGGAAAAACATATGCAAGGTATGGGTCCTGGAGAGATGTTGATGTTATTGAGTACATTACAAGCAAGTTGCTTTTTATAACTGGGATCCAGAAAAGTTAAGAATTACTGTTTCAAGTAGAGTTGAGACCTGAAACCAAACCTGCTCACCCCAAACCAAAGATGCCTTCCACCACACCTTCATCTGTGTGAAGCTACACTAGGAACCCCTCCCTTCTCAAAGCAGGAAGTGTGGGTGCTAGGCTTTTAGAAGCAAGTGTTCTGCCTATTCCTGGTTTCTTTTGATTTTGGAGTCAGGAGATTGCAGTCAAACTTTCTTGGTTCTGGGTTTGAATTGCTGCTTCTTTCTTCAAATTAAATGGGGCGAGGGGCTGGGGGGATAAGCAGGACTCATTCTTAGAGTTGTCAGTAGGCCACAGCTTTCTCAAATCCCTTCAAAATTGATTTTAGTCATGAAATAAACATATGCTCAGGGTTTGAAAACATAAGGGCTAGTTTACTAGTGATTTTTAAAAACTTATTTCTTCTTTTTCTTGTTCCTTTTTCCTATTTATACTTCCTTGTTCATCACAGCATTTGAAAATAGCTGGACAAATTTTCACCAAATTTGAAGAATGTCTTTGGAGTGCGCTGACTTAAAATACAGGTTAAACTGGCATACACAAATTTCTAGGTGAGTTCTTAAGGGCCTACAGAGATGGGCTGACATTTTCTTGACCCTTGAAAGTGAGCAGTGATGTCTGTGGTAGACTGCAAAGTACCGCCTTCCCACCAAGATATCCACCTCCTAATCCGTGGAACATGTCAATGTTAAAATATAGTGAAAACAAGTCTTTGCAGATGTGATTGAGTTAGGATTTTGAAATTAATTTAGATTATCTGGGTAGGCCCTAAATGGCGATCAGAAATGCCCTTATAAGAAGGGGGCAGAAGGATATTACACACACACAAATGCAATGTGAAAACAGAGGTAAAGACTAGAGCAATGTGGCCACCATCAAGGAATGTCAACAACCTCTAGAAGCTGAGAGGGCAGGAGGGATTCTTCCTTAGAGCCTTTTGTAGGGACGATGACCCATTTCTATAGGTCAAAGAGTCACATAGTAACTATATATGGCCCAATCTAGAAATGATTATTCTGAACAATGACATAAAAACACTACACCATATGTTGCAAGACTATACATTTGAATAGATGTTTACCATGTTTACCATTTCCTTAAAGCCTGCATTTACCTATAGAAAATGCTAGAAAACGTTTGGCAAATCTGAAGAATACTAAATCTACTACAGTTATCTTTAATAGCTTTTCAAGTTACACAGAGCTAACATATCAGGATCTGCGGAGATCTATTAGAATACAGAAAGGGTTGACTCCTTGTTAGAGCTGTAGGATGTTCACTCTTCAACCTGGCCCTTGGTTCCTAAGCGAGAGTCGCTGGAATTTCAACATCTAAGGTTAAATGTAGAAGGTAAGCTTTAACATGTGGTGTTTGGGGAAAGTAGCTAAATGGTTTCCATAGGATTTGTCAACGCTTTTGTCGTTTACTATGGGTTTTGAATCATCAAGCATGGGATATTAAGGTAGGTTTTCCTGAAGATCTTTTTAACTGGACTACAGTATATGTTCTGAGAAATGCTGTACTAATCATCATCAATGTGCTGGGTGAGTCTAACTTCCAAGCCTCTGCTGGAGTTAGGGCTGACAGTACAAACTACTGGGGCCCAGAGGTCCAGAGTAGGCTTTTGCACATCAATATCCATTCTATATAAGAATCTTTAGCCTGTCTGCCTTAGCTAGGAGGGTGAAGCCAGTATCAGTAGCTGTTCACCTACTATCCATTGACAGTTTCAATTCTGGAGAGCAATCTCCAAAATGTTCTGAACGATAGCCTTATTGAAGTTTGAGGCCTCAAACATTCATGTTTCATTGTTCTCTCTGCAGAAGTTCTGATTAACTGTTCTCATTTTCATTTACTTGAAACCAGACCAAAATGGTGGTCATAATCAGAGAATGGCAACGCTCCCTTTACTTTATGGATATTACCATGTTAAAGTGAGTTCTTGTAACCATAAAGAACTACTATAATGTAGCAACTTATACTTGCATATAGTATTTTGTAGCTCTACATTTCACCACTTACGAGGGTTTCATTTCAAGGGAAATTAGCATTTAAAACAAAATTAGGCATATGTCAACTCACTGAAATTAGACATACTCAGAGTGAACTTTGCTGTCTATAGATTATACCTCAATAAACCTGACTTTAAAAAATTAAGGGAAGTCTACATTTTAGTATACTCCCATAAAGAAGGTACTTGCTTTAAGACTTGTACGATTTTTGGCCAGTACTGGCTGATGAGGTTATCACTGCAGGCAGCTATGCGTAAATCAACTGACTCCCTCTGGGAGATGATGCAGAACACAGCTGTTGTCTTGAGAGATCAGGAACTGGTGTGGTAAACATGAAATTACACCTCTCAGATCATCTACAAGGAGCCTTTGATTGTATCAAGCTCTGTTCTCCCCCAAAGACTGAGTGTAGCAGGGACAAAGGCAGGCCTGCTCCAGGAGACATGGGAGTCCTCAGAAGAGTGACTTCTGGTTGACAACCCCGTCAGCCTTGCTGCAACTTTCTTAGACCTGCACGCATGTCTGAGAACTTTAATTCCTTCCCTCTGTCCTGCACACAGGTCACACATTACCTCACACCTCAGGCTCTCCCAGCTTCCTCCAGCTCCCTCACCTCCCCTAAAAGTTGTTCCTACCAATAAATCTCTTGTACATCTAATGCCAACTCCTATGGTGACTGTTCCCCACAGGACCCTAACACATTGGGGTACTCATCTTCTCATGTCTTTCTTCAGCTGAGGGATACTCAAAAGGACATTATCTGGTGGACACTCCGGCCTGTTGCATAGGCCAAGAGAAAGCCCTCAGACAGATCTGCAGTAGGACACCATGGCATCAACAGGGACATGGGTGGGGCGCCATCATTTGATATAATAGTAGTAATTGGTCTTTATGACTGTGGTTTATATTGTCATAGAGAAATAACTTTCCTTTTCAAAAACGTTCCTCACCTATTTTGGAGTTAATTCGGATGACTGCTCCAAAAGAAAAAATTTAGAAGACAAAACTTCAGCTTTATTAAAATGTCACCCTCTGAATTTATCTTTTCACAATTCCCTTCATAAGAAAGGATGTCCTTTAGCTATTTCAGAAATAAAAGTTTTCTGGCTGCGAAGAGAATCACTTGCCTTATGCACAAGTCTATGCTAAATTCGCTTTGTATCAAAGTTGTGCTGTAGTGTGCAAACACATTCCTGAAACCAAAGCAGCCTAATGGATTTCATAAGATTAAAAGTCCCAAAGTTCACTGCAAGCATCCTTAAAAGCAGACATAAGAAATCAGTCTATGGGTTTGGAAATACAAATTTAACACACAAATGATGTGCATGTTCTATATGTACATGTTTCAATGTTTCATTCCTCTGAAGTTGGAAATAAGTGATCTCATCTAAATTTTTAGTGGGCCACTA